AACTGTAAAGTGTTGCCTCTCACTGCACACATAAACTGTAAAGCACTGCACTATTAATGTCACTGTTTCACTGCAACGGTAAAGGGTAACGTTCTGTTCCACAGAGACTCTCAGGCTGATCTGGATTCTCACATGACATATTGGCTTTATTTCAGTGCCGTACAGTCAAGATCACTATATTTGGTGATGAGGGAGTCCCGGTGCAGGTGGATGGTGAAGCGTGGGTTCAGCCTCCAGGGATCATCAAAATTGTGCACAAAAACAGAGCTCAGATGCTAACCAGAGACAGAGTACGTGACAGTCTTTTCACTCTAACCTTTAATTGTGTGTACCTTGGGGCAAGTGTTGTGCATATGAGTTCAGCACCGACACAGGTCAGGCGGGGGTAGCGCATCTCCAGGGAGCTGGAGTTAGAAGGGATCGTGATCCATCTAATGTGAGTTCTGGGTCCTCTGCAAGAGTTGTATGTGCCCTAACCATTGAGCCATCTTTCTGTCCTCCAAATATTTTATTAAATTCTTTTTAAAAGTTGAAAGTTACCCCCAAAAATTAGAAAACATTGAAAGGAATTTAAATTATCTCTTAAATATGCCATTTAGCCCATTTGCAACATTTAGCTCATTGTATTTTTAAGTATAAGCAAAGGTTTACTCATTTTTATTTTAAATTAAATACTTTATCTTTTACAATTTGTAGGTTCACCGAGCAATTAAGCAGAAAGTACATAGAACTCTAATTCTGTTCCTATGTATTTCTTTCCTTCTACCCCAGAACACATAAATTCCTACTATTGATATTTTGCACTAGCGGTACAGTTTTTACAGTTGGTAATCTGATAACACATTGGTTGTTAACTGCCAGACGTGGTGGCACTCACCTTTAATTCCAGCATGTGGCAGGCAGAGACAGGTCGGCCTCTGTTAGTTCAAGGCAGCCCAGCCTGCATATTCAGTTCCAGGCCAGCCAGAGCTATACAGTGAGACCGTCTCAAATACACACACACACACACACACACACACACACACACACACACACACACACACACACAGATAGATAGATGGTTAATTAGTTAGCTGTGTTAGTCTCTGAGCTCTAACTCAACCATTCCTTGCAATCCTGGGTTTGAACAGGCCTTTGAAAGCACTCTCAAGTCTTGGGAAGACAAGCAGAAGTGTGACTCCAGTAAGCCAGTTCTCCGAACCAACCTGTACATCCATCCCGCTGTGGACCTGGCCACAGAAGAGTTGTCGCAGATGCGGCTCTGCTCCCAGGCTGCAGAGGAACTCATTACGAGGTGAAGTGCTCCGGCGGGAGCTTTGCCTGGGAGAACTCCGATCTTAGCCGGTTGTGTTTTCCTCTTGAGGGTCGTTTTTTGCTGCTTGGGGTGTTACTAAGGGATGTGTTCGCTTATTTCATTAGCTGCCTCCTGTGGGCCTCAGCCATGTTTCACCCCTTTATCAGGTCTTCCACACATGCTCTCTGCAATCTATATCTTACATAGCTTGGGAAATGATGGTGAATTTGCCCTGCCACACAGGGCAGTTTTTATTAGTATTTCTGTACTAGCTACTCACGTGTTGCCCCACTCACTGTGGGTAGATGTTGGAAGAAGTCAGAACATGAACCATGTTCCCACAAGGGGTCACGAGACTGAATAAACAGTTGTAGCATCACTTCTAGCAACACACACCAAGATTGAGAGACCACATGTAAGTTATCTTTCTAGACAGAAAGGGAAGAGATCTTTAAAAACATGAGTTTGATGAACATAAAAGATAAAAAATTGACCAGGTGGTGGTGGCACACACCCTTAATCCCAGCACTCGGGAGGCAGAGGCAGGCGGATCTCTGTGAGTTTGAGGCCAGCCTGGTCTACAGATCGAGTCCCAGGACAGCCAGGGCTCCACAGAGAGAAACCTTGTCTTGAAAAAAACAAAACCAACAAACGAAAGATAGAAAAATCACCACAGCAGCGCTCTTCAGAGTGGAAGAGAGGCTGCGACCAGATCCTTGACCCCTCCTCACCTAACATAGCCTCCCAAGTGGGAGTGATGAATTCTCAGCCTGCCACTTAGTGGCTCTGTACACATACTCAGTCTCTGTCTCCGTGTCTTCATCTGCAGACTTGAGAAGACTTATCATCATAGGCTGTGAAGAGTAAATTCTATAACACATATAAAAACAGTTAGCATATAGACGATAAATACGGTCAAGTTGTCCCTTGGTGTATTGCGTTGGCAATTTCCGCACTGGGGTGTAATTGATGGAGCACCAGCTTAGTGTGTGCAGGGCCCTCGGCTCAACAACCCAGCCCCGCAGTAAACCAGCAGGCAAGTGGATGTCCTAGAGACTTGAAAGCCACACTGCGTTTGTGGCCTTTCTCACTTGTCAGCACTGCTGTCGCCAGGCAAGGGAGACTCTTCAAAAGGCTGGCCTTCAGCAATGCCCTAAATTGTTCGTTCGTCTCATTTTTACCCTTAGGATTTGTGATGCAGCCACGATTCACTGTCTCCTGGAGCAGGAACTGGCGCATGCAGTCAATGCATGCTCACACGCCCTCAACAAAGCCAACCCACGCTTCCCGGAGGTGAGGACTTGATGGTAAATTCTCTTTCCACAGATTCCATTGGTATTTCAACTACTGTAAAATACCATAGAGATCCTCTCTGTGAAAGACAGCAGTATCCTTCTGTTGCTGTGATTAAAATGCTAACCAAAAGCACTTTGAGAAAGAAAGAGTTTATTCGACGTACAGGTCTCCATGACAGTCCATCAGGAAGTTAGCTTAGTAACTCAGGCAGGAACCTGGAGGCAGGAGCCGAAGCAGAAACCATGGAGGAACTCTGCTTACTGGCTTGCTTCTCGGGTTCACCTTTAGCTGCCTTAGACCTCCAAGGACCACCTTCCCCCAGGTGGCACTGACCCCCGTGGGCTGGGCCCCCCACAGCAATCATTTATTAGTTTAAATATTAAGGCAACTCACGTAGTTAAAAGGGAGGTTTATTTTGTGGGGTAACTTACAAGTGAAGGGATAAGTAACAGGGTCTGGGGAAGACGTAGCGCAGTCTGGCGGTGTTCTCTGGAGAACTCTGCTCGGTCTACCTCCAGCGTCCAGGATGCAGGAACCAAGAGAGCTGGCCCATCCGGATTTTGGGTCTTCAGGGGTCCTCTCTCAGCTCCGCCTTATAGGCGTGACCGTTACAGAAGCCTCAATGGGGGTGGCACTTCCAGGTCAAAGCTGGACTGGCTACCCACTACAATCATCCATCAAGAAAATGCTCCAGCAGACTGGCCTACAGGCAGGTCTGATGGAAGTATTTTCGCAATGGAGGTTTGCTCTTCTCAGAAGACTCTAGCGTGTGTCAAGTTGACAAATAACCAGCACAGGTTCTTCATGAGTTTCACAAGAAGCGTAGGGTAAATTTGTGGCCACAAATTTTGTTGGCCTGTTCCTGCACATTTTTTTTTTTTGTAATTTCTGCTCTTAAATTTACTTCTATTTCACTTTTAATCACTTGACATCCCCTTTCAAGTCTTTCTACTGTCTTATTACATTTCATTCATTCATTCATTCATTCATTCATTCATTCATTCATTCATCTGGAGATGGAGGGCAGCCACAGAACACATGGAGATAAGAGGACAACTTGCAAGAGCTTGTTCTTTATTTCCACCATGTGGGTTCTGGGGGCTGAACTGAGTGAGCAGGCTGGGTGGCGAGCACCTTTACCTGCTGAGTCATCTCACGGGCTGACGTCTCCCACCTGCTGTCATCTTTCCTTCTTCCTCTTCCTTCTTCCTCTTCCTCTACCCTCTTCCCCTGCATCTTAGACAAAAGCAAACCTCGAACTGACCACATGCGCTTGGCTGGAGAGGCTCAGTCATTTCTTGGTTGCGCTCTGACACTGAGCTTCGCTTTTTTGCCAAATTGTGAGTCGATGCTTCCGTAGTTTTCAGCGTAGGTGTTGATAATGGAGTGGACACAATGTAACTCCTGGAGTGTGACCTGCTATACAGTCGGGTAGTCTAGGGAACGCTGATACCATCATTTTATTCTTTTTAATTCTTCATTTGAAACTACCCAAACTAATGTTCAACTACATAGTATTACTGATGATGAAAGTTCAAAAGTCAATGTATTTGGAACTACCAAGTGAAAAGAGAACTGCAGTGAGCCCTTGAAACAACACGCAGGGGTAAGGGACTCCGCCTTCTCTGCACAGTAGAAAAATCTGTGTATAACCTTTGATTCTCCCACAGCCTGACTGCTATAATTGTCTGCTGGTGACCAGTGATGTTAAAAGTCACTTAACACACTTTAAACGATTTCACTTATTTGTATTTTATGTGTATGCATTATATATTATGTGGATTTATTTTATGTTAATGTATGAGTTTGCCTGAATATGTATGTCTGTGCACCATTTGTATGCAGTACCCTTGGCGGCCAGATGAGGGCATCAGATCCCCTGGGACTGGAATTACAGATGATTGTGAGCTGCCTGCCATGTGGGTGCTGGAAATTGAACCTGGGTCCTCTGGAAGAGCCGCCAGTGCCCTTAACTACTGAGCCACCTCTCTAGCCCCTTCATGTATATTTTATATATTGCATATGGTGAAAGATACTCAAGATTCATGGGAGAACACTTTCGCTGCAACACACAATTTCCTGGATAACTGGTCAGGCAGCGATAAGCTGTGTCTTGTGGAATTTTAAGCGGATGCCGTCAGTACGTGAGCTCACCACAAGGGCAACAGAAAGCAGCCAAAATGGTCCCACTAGTAAAATCCGTCCTGCGGTTCATTTCACCAAGTTATGATTTCATAGTGCCCTTTACGTTTGTCTACACTTTCCTTAACTGAGATGGAATCCTCATTTAACATGGAGAAATACATGTATGTCCTTGTCACTCTTTTTTCCAGAGTCTTACGAGAGACACCGCCACCGAAATAGCCATCAATGTCAAGGCGCTCTATAATGAAACAGAGTCTTTGCTGGTTGGCAGGGTTCCTTTGGTAAGGAGAAGAAACGGCTTCTACCTGTTCCGGTTTCCCTCTTTGCCTGTGATACGCTGTGACCCAAAGCAAACTAGAGAGGAAAGGGATCGTTTCATCTTACAACTCCCAGGTCATAATCCATCACTGAAGGACATCAGGGCAGGACCCTGGAGGCAGGAAATGAAACAGAGACCATGGAGGAACATGGCTTGTTTCCATCCTCAAGTTCAACTGCCATTGTCTTACAGCTCAGACCAGCTGTCTGGGGATGGCACTGCCTCCTGTGGGCTGGGCCCTCCTTTGTTAATTAGCAATTAAGAAAATGCCCCCCCCCCCCAGAAATGCCAGAGGCCCGTCTGATGAAGGAAATTCCTCACTTGAGGTTCCTTTTTCCCATGTGACTCTAGGTTTGTGTCAGTTGACACCTGAAGCTTAACTGTGACATAAAAACCTGAGCCTTGCTTCATTAGTGAGCGTGTGCTGAGCAGACCTCTGACCTCCATTCTTGACCTTCCTTTTGCCTTCTTGAAGCAATGCTATACTAATTCATGCCGTCATGTTCTCATGCCACTCCTCTCTCCCTGGACAAGCTTTGAGAGTTTTGAGCTGGATTAGGTAGAGTAGACGTTTCTTAGCTATTTGCACATGCACGCATTTAGGCAAAATTGCAGTTTCATTCTCCCAGTGAATATTGGGAATATGAATTGGCATGGTCTTCCAAATTTGCTCTATAAACATTGTGTTTCAAGCACTGTCTCTGTTTTAACTCATTTGGCCCTGGAAATCAAGTATAAGAAAGTGTGAATGTGGCTAAAGCCCACAGGCCCGGAGCATAAGTACAGAGCAACCCGTTCTTTAAAAACACGTGAGTGGCTTTTGACTATTCTAGCATTGACTCTTGTCACCACCTGTGGCTGGACTGTGGCATTAGGCATGTGGGAGGCCCAGCACATTAGCTGTCTTCCCCTTCCTTACATCCCTTTGAATGATCTCAAAGAATTTCTTTCCATAGTAGTTTCATCTGTTTGGGCAAATATAAGCCTAAATAAAATGATAAAAGTCATTCATGTCATAGTACTTGAAGCGGTGGGATGGGGAATTAGATTTCCTGCTGGGTCGTGGCTGTGGTCCAGCAGCATGCTGCCACTGGAGCCTCCTTTCTGCTTAAGAAACCCCGAGGCTTCCTTAGGGCCAGTGTTCTTCGCCACCTCCTAAGGAACTGAAACACAGCTTCCCAGGCCGCAGGGTGGCTGTCACCACGCCTGCTATATAGAAGTCGTAGGAAGAAGCGTTGGTTACGTGTTGGTAAGATCAGTGGAGGCTCCTTCTTGGCTATCATTGACACACTTTTGTTAACCAGAATCTTCTATTGCTCTTTCCAAAATAAGCCTATCAGAAATCCTGTGGGCTATGATTAAGGTCCCAATTTTTAAATGGAGAAGGGCTTTTGTGTGTCACTTGAAAGACTTTTAAGGTCATTTATAATAAGAAATAGAAGCGTAACTTTGTCCTTTACACCAAAATACCTCCTTTGCTCTAATTTATTATATTTAGTGATTATATTAAAATATAAGAACATCCCCCTCCATTTCTAATTCTCTTTGATTCTCAAATGTTCATGCTTGATTTGAAATATGTCCCGGTAAATTTTGCCCATACTCTTAACAATAAGTGGTATGACAATAAGGAATTTATAGTATTTGAGAACAGCTGAAGTTTATTTTTCATTTTATAGAACAAATGTGAAAAACCATCTAATACAGTAGGGTGGGAAAAATCTTATTTTATTAACTACTGGGAGATACTTGCAGTATCACAGAGAATCAACAACAAAAAGATGCTTATATAATAAGCTATAAGGATAATCTCAGAACTCTTCTTTCTAATATTCTGAGAACATCAGTGTAGATACTGTGGAGTTTTTAAATGGTCTCTAAAGGTATTGGTTAGCGGAGAGATTGCTCAGAAATGTTCTAGTCACATGGTGCCATTTCTAACACAGAGGAAACTAAGGTGTCCAATGTCAGTACCCTTCCTAACTTCGTATAGTTAGTAACCAAGCCATGACCAGAATCTCATCTTCTGCATTCCAGTTCTATGAATTGTAATAACTGCCTTAAGTAAGTTATTATGGAAATAACAAATGACAATTATATCCTCTTTAAAATATCTACATCCTGTTCCAGATTACCAGCCCCTTGGCTTTTGGCTTAATCCTGATTTTTGTAATAGTTCTTCATTCTTCATCACAAATTTTTCTGAGATTCGTTTTTCCCTTAAACTTGCTCTTTTGATTTTCTAGATTTTTTTTTTTGTGTGTGTGTGTGTGATGTGCTTTTTATATGACAGGTATTTGATGAGTTTTTAAAACTTATTTGTTCATGGACCAAAGTCTCTAAGTCAGAAGAATTTTTGACCCAGGTATGACAGTTCACAGAGAATGTGCTTGGAAGCAGTGAAGGAGGAAGTCACAATGGGGAAGGGAAGGATATCACATCTAAGAAACACCAAAAGCAGTACTTCTGGTGGGGGGGGGGGGTGGATTTCCTCAGCTGCACCAGTTATGTGTGTCAGCTTCGGGATCAGGACTTAGAAGGAAAGCTGACAGCTTATGATCAGAGGGAAGGATGCTCAGAGTAACCTTGTTGTTCTGTGAAGTTGGTCGCTGAATCTCTCTCTGTTTCGATTTCTCCCCCTGCCCGTGACTAGCAGTTGGAGTCTCCCCACGAAGAGCGGGTATCCAGTGCCCTACACTCTGTGGAGGTGGAGCTGCAGAAGTTAACGGAGATCCCCTGGCTTTATTATATCCTCCGCTCCAATGAGGACGAGGTATGGAAAACTCAGCCCATTGACGAATGCAGACCGTGCGACTTTAGAGTTTGGACTTAAGAAGAGACATTTCAGGGAAATGAATTTTGAGTACTACTTTGAAATGTTTTTGTTGTTAAGAGAGAAAGGGCCTTTCTGTGAACATGGGCGTTTAGTAGAGTGGTACATGTTGAGTATTCAGAACCCAGTGGTGCTGGCTGGTTCTGTGTTCACTAGACACAAGCTAGAGTTGTTTGAGAAAAGGGAACCTCAGTTGAGAAAATGCCCCTACCACGTTGGGTTGTGGGGAAGCCTATAGGGCATTTTCCTAATTAGTGATTGATAGGCTGGTGGTCCTGGGGCCTATAAGAAAGCAGGCTGAGCAAGCCATGGGGAGCAAGCCAGTAAGCAGCCCTCCTTCAATAGAAAACCCTAATTAGGACACTGTTCTTTAACTCCATTAACGGAATGGTGTTTTCTCCCCATAACCTCCTAAAATAGTGATTTTTTTTTCTTGATTTGAACAGGAGCCTCCTATGGACTGCACCAAAAGAAACAGCAGAAGCACAGTCTTTCGTATCGTGCCCAAGTTTAAAAAGGAAAAGGCTCAGAAACCGAAGTCAAGTTCACAGCCCGGTAGGTGGTCCCGTGGCGGGGGGGAAAATAACTCACTGGAAAGGTATCGGTGAGGGGATGGGGGGAGTGTGCTAGGATTAGGTAGCGGCGGCGGCGAGCACTGCCCAGCACTGTCAATACTCTAAATATTATTGAATTGTACACTTCAGAATGGTTAAAATGGTACATGGAACCATACAAGTCATATCATACCCAACGTGTTGTTGTTGATGAGAATGTGGTGTTATACATGGACTGAGAGGACGAGGGGGTCACCAGCCTCTTTTGGTTCTGTCCAGTTGAGTCAGTGTGTCCATTCAAAGGGGTCTCTCTCTTCTCAACAGCTGCTTCAGGCATCAGTGTATAACTGTGTTTTCTTCTCAGAGTTAAAAAGCCAAATCGCTTTGATAAAGGGAACATAGACATTTTCTTTTACTCTGCTTGCTAACTGTCTTTTTTCACTGAAGTTACAAATCCTCTTTTTCCCTGGTTTTAAGGACAGTACTCCACTTTTGATAACACAGGTGCACGTTTCTCCTGCGCCCTGCTACTTTCCTGGTTCCCCTCCCTCCAAGTTGAACTTGATGCTCTCTGTGCTAATACCTTGGGAGTTCTGGGTCTAGATCTGCCTTTCGCAATGAAATAGCTTTATAAATTTCTAGAAGAATTTCATTGATTCTTCTGGGTTAGTCCTATGGTCTTTATAAAAAGTGGTGTAAAACCTTACATCTATAAGGAGAGTTATTAGATGTGTGTAAAAACCAAACACAGTAAAAAAAAAAAAAATAGGGTTGTATTATGCTAACTCATCATCTTGAATAAAAGGTTTGAAAGAACGATATCCATACTGAAAAGTAGAATAATTCAACTAGTCTTGGTAGCAGCCTAAACAGTTTTTAGATGACGTTAAAGCGATCTTTAGCCATTTATTGTTGCAATTGTCCATGACAGTACAGTCAATAGAGGCCAACACTTGAAGTCAGCAAGACCCAAGCAGAAAAATGTGTAAAACCAAGTAGCCCAGATCAGATTCTAATGAACATTTATAGCTCACTTCTAACTAAACATTTTTTCACTTGTGGCCTTAAGGCATCAGAGCTCATGATGGTTTTTGCATCATGGATTCTAATGGCGCAAAGCTAATGCCCTAATGCGCGCTGTGTAGTTTACATGAGAAGCTGGACTAGAGCTGGAGGCATAGGTGCGCACATCTGGCGCACATCTTTGTATGGTCAAATCCTCCTCGAGTCCTTTGGCAGTCTATAACCTGCATGGGGCGGGGGGCATTGTGAAGAACCACTGCACCACCCGCCCTTGGCTAGTGCTGCTGCTGCTGTCTGTCTGTCTTGCGTCTTCTATGGCCGACCCATGCTTTGTAATGCGTTGCGCATGTAGAAATTAAGGGGGTTTTGCTCTTAACTTTGGTAGTTCAGAATTGGGGCACAGAGGAAGTTGCTGCTTGGCTGGATCTGCTCAATTTGGGAGAGTACAAAGAAATCTTCATCCGTCATGACATCAGAGGGGCGGAACTTTTGCATCTGGAAAGACGAGATCTTAAGGTATACTTTTTTTTTTTTTTTTTGAGCTTTGGTTTTGGACCATTTCTTGCAACATAGACTCTTTCCTCCCGTGTGTCCTCTGTCACGTGCTTTCAGCTTGGCTTGTGTTACGCAAATGTCCAGTCATCTCACACATTCGTTGTTTGTGCTCTGACTTTCCTTGTGTGCTTTTCCAGTGAGAACATCAGCAGTATTTTCCTGTCAGAGCCCTTCTCTGACTGACTCTCATAGCTGAAGCCCAGCATGCACCTGATAGCTTCTCTCTGTAGCCACTGGTGTGGCTGTTACTGCCCTAACGTTTCCAAGTGCGACCTGTTTCTACCATCTCATTGTGTTGGGGCTGCATGGATGGTGATGGCTATTGTTGGAAAAGACTGAAAATGAATTGAATATAAGGTTAACTAAAAATCAATGTAAAATACCAGTAAGAAAGTCTTTCTAGTCTATGAAAGTACATTTGAGACAGCAGTGATAATTTTGAGTCCTGGGATTTTGTTCTGTTTCTCAGCTGGACTCTAGAGGTCACATGAATAACTAGACCAGTAAATCAAAACTCCCTTTCCATGACACATAGTTGATGTCTTATTAGTTTCAAAAAGAAGTAACGGGCTGGAGAGATGGCTCAGAGGTTAAGAGCACTGAATGCTCTTCCAGAGGTTCTGAGTTCAATTCCCAGCAACCACATGGTGGCTCACAACCATCTGTAATGAGATCTGGCGCCCTCTTCTGGCCTGCAGTCATATATGCTGTATACATAATAAATAAATAAATCTAAAAAAAATTTAAAAAAAAAGTAACTTTTATTATTATTATTATTATTATTATTATTATTATTATTATTTAGTAAATGGAGTTTAAAATATGCATAGCTGCTTTCTCAGTCATGTATGCCAAAGCCAGAAATCCTTTCATTGATGATGTGCGGTAATACCCTGGTTTACTTTGGGTACATACTCAACAGTTGAACAGCCAAGGCAGGATTATTCTGTCCAGGATATATGACCAGAAGACAGGAGCTGGAGAGATACGGTCAGCTCCCGCTGCATAAGCATAGGAATGCGAGGTCAATCCGCATCACCCATGCAGACAACGGCAGCATGGTGGCATTTCTTAAACCTCAGAACTGGGGCTTAGTAGAGACAGGAGGGTTCTCTGGCCAGCCAACCTCACCAATGGTCTCTAAACTCAGTGAGAGACCCTGTCCAAAAACAATGCAGTCATGAGTGATGGAGGAAGGCACAGGTCAACTCCGGACCTCCACAGGGATGCACACACAGAGAAGCATGCACAGTAGGAGTTTACTGTATCATATTTGCTCGCTACATGCTGCCATTTTACAACTACAATAAATAACATTGCTGAAACAATCCCTTACTGATAGATAATGTTCTAGAGTGTACGGAGTGATGACTTTTCTAGCTTATTTATAACTCTCGTGCTTTCATCTGCACAATTTAGCAGAGATCTTGGTCCAAGTAATGGATAATATAAAGTTCATGTCTTTATTAAGGAGTTGTACAGTACCTTAGCAGATCAAAAGGAGAATGCTGTTCCTTTCTAAACATTGTTAGCTGTGATAATAATAAAGTAGCTTAATTATTCTGTGTGTCCTAATGGATGCACTTTAGAATATACTGTGTTTAAGTTCATAAAGCAAAGATTGACCTCAGAACTTGACATGAATGCATGCGCATGTGCACACACATGGCATATACACAGGACTATAGGACCTTTTTATAGCTAGTGTTTATGTAGCGTCTGATAACATTGGCAGGTTGCAATATTTATTGAACAGTCAGTTGCTTGTTAATGGATTGTTCTAGGATCCCTCTGTGTCATTTGCCTTCTAGAGGCTCACATCATACATATGCTGAACTCGTGTATGTTAAAGGACACCTAGATACATACATGTTCATGTTATGTGACTACATATACAGATATATACTCAACACAGAGATGTACACACACACATATATTGAATGTAGCAAGATTTGCCAAATGTTAAAGCTCATGTATACACAGAAGCCAAATTAGAGAGAGAAAAAAAGAAAGTAAGAGAAGAAAGGAGATGATTAAGAAGTAATTTGCTAAACTTTCTCATTAGCGTCTCATGATTTGGGTTTGTTTTCTTTGTGTTTTTAAGGCCAATTATGTTCTCTCCCTTGATACTTTCCTTTAGAAATTTGCATCACCACTTAACCCTTTTGGTTTTAAAATAGGGTGCGGGCTATGGGGAGAGGACATTTTTACAGAGAGAGCCTTCTAGAGAACAAAACCGTGAGACTGGAGAGCCGCTTCCCTGTCCTCTGTGCCTTCCTGTCAGGAGCAGCAGACTGTAGACTGGTTCAAAGACACTGGGGAAGAACCACCGACTGTGGAATGGTCCCATTGCTTCAGCTCCTCCTCCTGGATATGTCAGTGATTCTCAGTCTCCTCGAAGCCCTTGGCCTCATTAGTGAACGTTAACTGTTGCCAGCTGGCTCCGGACACTTGAGTATCACAGAGGGCAGAGATCTTACCGCGTCCCAAGAGGGACTCTGATCTTCTGTCCCTCTCCGGCTCTGCTCTGTTCTCAGCTATGCCCCTCGCCCTTCGGGTGCCCGGCAGCAGAGACACCCAGAGTCAGAGTTAGCACCTCCCTCTTCCTGATCCATCTCGCCATCCCAGCCAAACTCTGACACAGTAGATCCTCTACCATCATTGCTCTCCAGTTCTTCCCAGGAGTTTCCTCCACACTGCATCCCACATCCCACCTTCTTGTGGAAGATCAGTAGCTTTCGTCTTGGTCTTGTCACTGGTCCTCTGTCTCTCCAGCCCATAGTTCGTGTTGAATCACCATGATACGAGGATGTCATCTTCAACCAAGCATGTTGTTTTTCTGCTTCAAATCTTCCAGCAGCTTCTCATTCTTGGGAGAACAATGGCGTCCATCTCTGTGGAGGCCCAAAGGCCCTGCCTGTTTAATCCACCTTCTTATCACTGGCCCCTGGCCCATCCACCCTGGCCTTCTTTCAGTTGCTTAAAACTACTATTACTGACCCTAAGGGTGTGTCCTCATAGCCTGTTTCTCTCACTACCCCTCACCCAGTTAGCTCCTTCCCAGGGCTTGGCCAGAATGTCCCTGCCTTATCACTGGAGATTACTAAACAACCGAAGACACTTGGCAAAGAGAAACATTTCTAACATGCTTTAGCAGAGCAGGAAGCCGGCAGTGACCTTTCCCGTGCTGGGACACAGTAGGGGAGGGATGCTGGAGAGGATGGAAAAGACACAGTGAAGGCTCCCCCCTCCCACATTCTGAAAGGTGTGTGTGGGTACCCGGAAGGATAACTCAACATCTGCACAGGAGTCTTTGGCAAAATTGTGTCTATTCATCCAAAGAAACAAAAAGTTAGAAATGAGGTATGATAAATACAATAAAATAAGTATACAGGTCTGGAGAGATGGAGACTGGGCAGGAATCTAGTCAAATCAATGAGCTCCAGGTTCAGAGAGACCCCATTTCAAAACGACTCAAGGCTTCCTTCCAGTGGAGGGATTGGGACACCTACCCAGGCACACAACCTTCGATCTACAATTTGTCCTGCCTGCAGGATGTGCTGGGGTCAAGATGGCATAGAGATTGTGGGAGTGGCCAACCAATGACTGGTCCAACTGGAGACCCATGCCACGTGAGGGAGCCCACCCCTGACACTGCCTGGAGGGCCGGGAACCAGAGTCCTAAAAAAAGAAAAAGAAAAGAAAAAAGAAAAAAAAAGGAGAAGACACTGTGTTGATCTTTGGCTAGATCATGCACACACAAACCACACACCTGTCTGCACACATACATCCACACACAAACACATCCCACATAAAAACTAAATAGACAATGATGCATGCATACGATACCTGCTAAAATGGCAGCTATATCAAATGTCAAAGCAAATCTTTTATTACAACCCAACAACAGGAGACAAGTAGATACTGAAGTTGGTCCAAGGAAAGACAGGGAGCTAAGAAGCCATTGTAACTGCGTTCCCTCTGGAAGACATTCCTCTCATGGTACCAACGCAGTACTTCTGAGTAGAATCCCCAAAGTGTCTGCATTCTGGAGAACGCAGTGTTTGTATGGCCTAAAAGAAGATGTCTGATATTGAAATCTATTTTATAAGTACAGTACTAGATTATTACAAAGTCTAAAGAACAAGTCTTCTGTTTGAATGGGAACTCTGACGTGTAGATTTACATTCTTTTTGCAAGAAAATGATTTTTTATTTATGTGTACATCTGTGTCAATATAAGCCATGTGTACCGTGCCCACAAGGCCCGCAGAAGGCGTAGGATCCCGAAGCTGGAGTTACAGGTCGTTGTAAACCACTTGACATGGGTGCTAGGAATTGAACCTGTGTCTTCAGGAAAAGTAACAAGCTCTCGTAGTCACTGAGCCATCTCCCTAGCCCCATTGAAATACTCACTTACATTCCAAATTTATGCAGCTGACATGGATTTGGGCTTGCCTTCAAGTTGATATTTATCACATACCCAAGAAATGTGTAGAGCCTTGGGACTAATTGTGTTTACCCTGGTAGCACATGAGAGCATTTGTTTTTCTGGGTCAGTTAAGTTTGATAAAAATGTTACCCTGAAATGATCCCAAGCTTGAATAGCACTAGCTATGGAAAACTTGTTTTCCAGGAGGATTTAGAACGATGGTTATGATTACTACTCTAAAGTGTGAGAGAGATAGTGTATGCTGTTTCCATGTGTGTGATTTAAATCAGTTTGATATGCTTCATTTCTAAGTTTATAAGTAAAACCAGCCCTTACATTATAGAACTGAGTGAACTTTCTTAGAATGTTTCCATTTTGTAAACAAGTCATCTTGTAGTTCACTTTTGGGCGGGATTTGGGAAAGACGGGAGAGAAGAACAGGAGAATTGGTCACACGTGCTGGGCCCAGCCAGCCTGGGCTGCACTGAAAAGGATCTGAAACAAGAGACACCTTCCTTGCCTCGAAAGGCCTCCACATGGTCACTGTAGCGTAATATAGCCAAGGACAGCCTTGAGTGCTTTATCCACCAACTTCTGTCTCCTAAGTCATGGGCCTTCGGGCATGTGCCACTGTGTCTGGCAGGCCACAATTTTAAGCACAAAAGGTGGGTGTGGTGCATTATTCAAGAGGTTGAGGCAGGAGAATCACAAAGAGTTCAAGAGTAGACTGAACAAGACAACAGGACCTTGTCTCCAAAATAAGAAGAATATGTGTGTGTGTGTGTGTACATGAAAAAAGCGTGTGCCTTAAAAGCCCAGCTATCCTTCATCATTTGCCTCAATTCACAAAAGAGCTTGTCTTTAAAAATGAAAAGGGAGAGGAAGAAACCATATTAGTTTTGACTCTTGAACAGTTTTCCTAGCTGTACATAATCCATGAAGATACCAAGAGGATTTGTATGGAGTATGGTATCTTTTTATTGATTGGTCATTTTTCCCCCCCAGTATTAGGCTATTTCTGTTTTATTAGCTTAGTTTTTTAGCTATCACTTCTAGAACCATTGAATATAAACTGTTAATAAAATGGATAAAGTAAGTGCTAATTATGCTAATTACTAGTTGATAGTTTAATTTCTAGTCTTATTGGTAAACTGGTCTCCTTTCTCCCTCCTCCCTCTTTCCTTTCTTTCTTTTTTTTCTTTTTAGGACCTGGGGATACCGAAAGTGGGTCATATGAAGCGAATTCTCCAGGGAATTAAAGAGCTTGAAAGGAACCCTCCCAACTTGGACTGAGGTGTGGTCGCACTGGTGCTATTTCCTGGAAGAGGAGTTCTCGGGACTCAATACAGCGTTCTTGGAAGCCGCTGGCTGTTCTTGTGATTTTCTGGTAGATAAGCACCACCGAAGCACCTCTCTGGATTGATGTTTTGCTGTGGGTGAAAGTTTTGATTTAAGGTATTACAAAATCATTTTTGTGCCAAAAACAAAACCCCAAACAAACAAACACCCAACTCAACCCATTCCACAAAGCCATTTTCTTGTTGGGCAAACCTGACATGCTAGGAAGTTCTTGCAGCAGTGAAAAGAGGAAGAAGGACTGGAGACAGTTGCCTTGTCTAAAAGGTGGATTTTGCTTGCTCGTTGTCCATTCTCCGTAGAGCCGGCTGACGGACCGGAGGCTCTCTCGTGCACCTGCAGCTGTGTTGACGGTATGCAGTTGAAACTTCTCAGGCTTCCTTAGTGAAGGCATTGGCTCCTTCCTAGAAACCTCTGGGTAGGAGATGAAGATAGGAGTTGGGTTTTGAGTCTTTTCACCCTAAGTTCCCAGTATCCACTGGTCAAAGAATGTGGTGAGACCAACCCATCACATACTATGAATGATGCAAATTTAATGCACGATGTTCCTGCCTGAGTTGTCCTTCTTTTTTCTTGCATGTCATATATATTATTGTAGTACTTCAATAGCTTTAATGTCTGTTATAATGAAATTTAATTTATTACCACCCAGCTACCCAAGCACTTTTTGTTGGTTAAGGGCACTTTTCTTCAGTGTGGACTTTTAAGTAAAGATTCCATACTGAGACTCTGTGAACATTCATCTGTGCCATGATCAGCAAATGATATATATCTTATGCAAACCAAATTTATTTTGCCTATCCCAAACCATGGGTATATGCATTAAGAGACTTGTTGGGCAATTTTCATAAGCTTTACATGTTCTGTTGCCTAACAGAACTTATTACAACTTTCCAAACTCAAATCCTCACATTTTGTTCCCATTTTTTTCATTTCAATTTAATAACCATTTTGAGTTTCTGCTTGAATTTGTAAAACTGTGGACATCTAGGAATTGTCCAAAGTCTCAGCTAAGATTTGCACCCTGAGTTATCTGCACCAGCTGAAGCAATTATTGACATGAATTCCCCAATGGAAGAAATTTAGTTTTGCTTCTTAAGGGCTTTTTGTATTATTATATCACACACATTTTGATAGTCTACCAGGTAGAAATTATTTTCCTTTTTTTAAACCATTGTATGTCTGTGTTGCTCAATAGAATTACCAAGTTTGAAAGCCAAAGGTATATATGTCAAAAAAGTACAACTATCTTTATAAGTGTTTTCTGGTCATTATATGCCAAAAATCAATTGGAATATTTGGAAGTTCTATGAGATATGAGAAGCAAGCAGGTTGTTGATCCAGCGGATACAGTTTTAATAGTAATCTGCTAGGTGCCCAGTAGATACACACACACACACACACACACACACACACACACACACACACACACACGTGTACACTTACATGCCCATATACCTTTACCTATATAAATGCACTTACTCACATGTTGTCTTGAGATACAGTATCCCTGATACTTTCTAGACAATCATTTGCCCAATGTTTGACATTTTATTTCTAACTTGGGTATTTACTAGTAAAAAATATCACAAAATTTAGATACCTTTAAAATAAATGAGGACCTGGCCACAGCAGGGCAAAAACAAAAAATTCTACAGACAATCTTGAAGGGTTCCTGACCATATAAATATGTCTGACTATATATTTTTTACCTAAGTTGTGCACAATGGAAATTTTCCAAAGATAATTCATATCGAGGCTTTTGAGCTGACGATCAGCCAATCCCTTAGTGATTTTGATGTTCTGCACACCTGTGAAGTAGAAGGTCTCTTTTGTATACCGCCTGGTGAGTGCCCTGCCAATACTTCCTGTGAAACCAGATTATCAGAGGCCACATTCCCAGAAGTCTCCCTAGATCATTGTTCAGGAGAAAGGGCTGGGGGTGGGGAGGGACTCCAGCATAAAGACCACTCCAGGCCTGTGTTAATATAGAAACCATTACTGGGTTTTCACCTGCCCCCAAATACATCTCTATCAACACACATTAAAAAAAAAAAAAAAAAAAAAAAAAAAAAAAAAAAAAAAAAAAAAAAAGTTCTAATGGCTACTTCCCTAGGGGTGGGCAGTGATTGGCTTTTCCTTTGTTTGGTAATCTTTCCAGTTCCTGCTAACACCTTTTATGTGTTCTGTAAAATCCCAACTCATGAAAACTTTCATTAAGTAGAATGGCTTTGGGAAGACGGACATCCTTCAAGATGACAGTTTGAATGAGCGGTTTTGTCCAATGTGAATGTTTTTCTCTGTAATCCATGTCAGCATGAATCAGGGCTGGATGCCAGTGAGTTCAGCTTACCAGCAGTGTGCTCTCAGAGACTCCATCGGTCTCTGCTAGTGTCAGAAAGAAACCATCTCATCCGAGGTAGGGTTTCAAAAACAAGACAGTGGGGGATGCCTCTCACTAAGATTCAGTCATATCTGGGATGCAGAGGATGTGTCTTTGATCCTTGCTTAAGTGGAAAGAGACGCTTTCCTGTGCACCTGCCTGTAGCTTGCTCTTCTCTCCTCCAAATTATTTAATGTTCATTTGTCCTCCCCACCCCCAAAGGAAAGGAAGAGAGTTAAGTTTAAGTAAAACCCCAGGTCTGCCCAAATTCTCACTGCCTTCTGCTCCCCTTTCTCCATTACCCCATGAAACCTTTCACCTCCCTGATTTTTATTTTAATGTCACAGGTCATTTAGCAAAATGTTGGGGACAATTAAATACATTTTCAGTTTGCTAGATAATTGAAACGTTAGGCCATTTGGAGACATATTGCTGTGGTGGAGGAGAGATGTTCTGTGGATGTTCAGATCTGTGTTCTCCAGTATTTCAGCCACTGGGCACCTATGGCTATTACATTTAAGTTTATTCTTACCAGTAACTTCATTTATTAGTTGCATTACCCACATTTTGAGTGCCCTGTAACCACAGATGTAGAACATTTTCACCATTGCAAAAATACTCCATTTGACAGCAGTAGCCTGGGTCACTGCTACTGAAAATGTGGTCCATGGGCAGTCAGCATTACTGTTATTTGGGAGCTTACAAAAAATTGCAGAATCCTGGAGCTGACAAGATGGTTCAGCGGGTCTGGCAACAAGTTTAACGCCAGGTGCCACATAAAAGTGGGAGGGGGGGGGAAAGCTCTTATAGACTTGTCCTCTGGCCTCACTATGCCCACCATGGCATGTTCACCCACATATTATCATGCATATATACACAATAATAAATAAATGCAATTTTTGATTGGAGAACCTCAGGTCCACTCCAGGTCTGCTGAATTCAAATCTTCCTTTCAGTCATATCCCTCAGGCCTCTCTCCAGCCCTTAGAGACTTTAAGCTACCACTGAGCCACCCACATTTGCTCAGTTTGTTATTCAGGTGATACACTCAGTTGCTCATGACTTCATTCACACTGAACATTCCAGAAGAATATGTACTGAGATGAAGATTAGGCAGTCTCCTTCAACTTGCACATTTTCATTTTCTTGTATCAGTAGATTATCCTGTTGCCATAGTTCATGCTTGAAGGCTCATAGCAGCCCACACACATTAAATGACTCATTAGGTGTACAAAAAAAAGGATGAAGAATCCAAATGATTTCAAGAAAAGTAAATGTCCTTTAAACATAAAAATATGCCTGAAAGCAGGCATATTTTGCTAGGTTTGGATCTCTTTGTCTTATGCTAACTTATCTTGATTTTCACATGGTTCATAATCTGTTAAAAATAGTTCCTGAAAAACAATATGTTCTTGGCCTCCAAACTCAAATTGTTCAATTCTATAATGAGATCTTTTCCCAGTGATTTATTGCCAGGAATTTGACCCTTAATTTTTATATTTTCATATAAATTACTCAAACATAGCTTCCTAGCTACTGTGATATACAAGAATCTTACTGTTTTTGACTCCATGGGTTGTTTTGACATGAATTGACAAGCTATGAACTGAGAAATTAAAGGTGATCGATCCCTCTGTGCATCACTTCTAGAGCAAACCATTTCCAGCTCCAGCTGAGCCAGTGAACTTTCATTTTCCAAGGATGAATTCCTGGGGGAATGTCTATTTTAACTCAGCTGTAAAATCACTTCCTTTTCAACTCTGACATCTAGAATCTCTCTCTCAGCTCCCCCACCCCAATGGACACATTCTCTGTAGGTGGAAGTTGATTTTTCAAATACCAGACTCTCCCCAGTACAGGTGGGGAAAAAGGAATTAGAAATGAAACTTCCTCAAAGGGGACTGCTGCTTCGTGGGATAGCCTTTGCCAGCGGCTTCCCCAACTCGGCTGCCTGGCTGCCCTGCCACTACCCCACCCCAAGCGTAGTGAGCCCTCCCTCTAGGTTGTTCCTGCTGTGGTGTTCTCAGTGGACTTTTGTGTTACAATCTCCTCATATTGGTAACGATGCCTTAGTAATAGGGTTCCTTCACAAAGATGCAAGTAGAACTTTAGAGAGTGATAATTATTGTTTTCCTATAATAAGCAAAGCATTATTTTTCTTTATTGTTATTTTCCCAGGTTTTGTTTAGAGATGTTTATGTTAGAAGAAAATATATAAAGGTTTGTCGATACAGGGAACGGAGAGCTAAAGACAGCTGGACTGTACCTGCCTTTCTCTGTAGTTGTCTGTTATTTTCAGGTAGAGCCATTAGACAGAGTAGCCGAGACTGTATTAACTCAATAACAATGCTTAAGATAGGCTCCACAGTGTATATATTATAGATGAACAACTCACGTCCTTTTATGTAATTTAATATATTGTATTTACATTATTTAATATACTCATTTTTTGCACTTCCAAGTTTTAGCTGGGAAATAAAAACCAAGCCACAGCTTTAAACTTATTTAAAAATCCACATAAAAATATTTCCTTCTAGCTACAAGTTACAAATTGTGTAAGACTTTGTGAATAGTCTGGGTATTTCTTACTATCTAGATTTCAAGAGTAAATTAACCAACAGAACACAGGGTTACTTATAAAGTGCATTAAAATAAAGACATTTCATACTCAACTGATGCTATCAAAGTAGGTGAATGCAGTTAAATATATAAGCAGACAAGGAAGGAGAATGTGTTTTATGACCCTTAATAGTTGATTGTACTGTTGTTCTACACAGCTTAGCCGTTCCTACTTCTACATCTGAGTACTAAAGACGTGCAGCCGAAGGCTGCCTACAGTGCTGATAGGAGCTAGCTAGTGGTGTGAAAGGCTTGGGTATCACAGCACACCCAGTTTTGTGAGGTATATATTGTATACTGAAGATGACTAACACATTGGAATAATATATTTATCTAGAGCTGGTAAATATGAAAATTATTTTCAAGCCTTCAAGTAAATTGCATTGACTTTTCTCTTTCAATGGGATAAAAGTCACTTGTATGTTTCAATCTATTTGTACCACAACTGTCTCCTTTACTGGTATTATTGATTTTCATATTACAACTTTTTCTTACCTTTTTATACCAAAAGAATTGTCATGCTGGTTATTCAACCTTGCCAAGATGTATTTGAGTTTGCAAGACTTTTGGCAGATAAAATATTTAATAACAAACAGATATAAAAGCTTTGTATATTTTGTGGCTTTAGGGGCAAGCATTGCACCTTTGAATTTCTCTCTGTGGGACAGTGCTGACGTCAGCACCGTCCCTTAAAGGCAGTATTCCTTAGAACCGGTTGTATAAATCAGTGCCCTTATTTATTACGTTGTGAAATGTACTCTTTATACAGAATCCGTATCTGAGCTCCTTTCGTTTTTACTGCTGTTGCCTGGAGTGTAATAGCTCTGTTAATGGTTGACTTATATACTTGAAATGCTCATTTCTGTCAAACAGATGCCCAGTGTTTTCCTTCTTTAAAAAAAAAAAAAAAACCAAAAAAAAAAAAAAAACCTTATTTTCTTTCCTGTCTTAGGTAACTGAACAGTCACAGGAACTTTTCTACAAAATGGTTTTTATATCTAAAAAGGCACAAAGCAGAAAGAAAGCACGAAAATGAATAACATAGTCAAGAGATCTGTTAAGCTATATTTTGCCCAATATATGTCATGTCTTCATTCTGTAAGTCTTTTCTTGTAGTGAATTTTTAGTTTTTGTGGTGGGGACATGTCAGTGATTGCACTGGCCAATTCCAATAAGCATTGAATCTTGAATCCTCCCAAAGACCTCACACCTCTAATGTCTACCCTTTGGTTCCAAAGTCTGTGCTTGAAATCTGTTTCCCTGTGATTTGGGGCTATACTGCAAATGGTATCCATGGATACTGTTTGCTTATTTCTGTCAAATAACGAGAAAGTTTAACTAAGTTTTTCATGATTCCCATTTGGATATATTCTTGACTCAACTATTCAAAAACCCAAACATTCCAAATGCATTTGCACAACATACCATGGAGAATAAAATCACTTGTTTTCAGGGAAGGAAACAAAGATTTCTGTTTTCAATAATCGCACTGAAAGTTGTAAATCAAAGAAAACACTTTAATCCCTAAATACAACTGTTTTCTATTTATGATGTGAACAGCAGGTAAATTGTAAGTTATTTAAACCTATTAGGAAATTAAGAATTAGTTTGCTTTTAATGACAGAGCTTTGTATTATAGTGTTGTAGATGCATTTATTGAGGATAGAAAAAATGAGAATATGTTAGAAGCATAGATAATTCAGGAACTTATGGCAGTTTGACAAGGCCTAGGAACAAAGAGTTTGAACACATTTTTCATGCTGTATTGTAGGGCAGAGCACACATGAAATGTGTGACATGGTGGGCAGTGAACCTCAGAAAGTGCCCTATTGGTCATGTCTGAAATCCTTCCTAGAAGTTAGCTAATTAACTCTCCAGGGAGCCCATTTTACTGCAGAAATTTATAGGTTAGTTAGGAGGCACTTGGGGTGACCTAATCTCCATGACATTTGGAACAGCTCCTGCAAATGTTTATTTCACAGGGTAGAGATGTCTGTGCTTTCTCAACTCAGCAATAGATGCAGTGGTAACCAGTCACAGGGGTTTAGATGGTTCCTGTAAAGGACAAGATAAAGGTGACTCAGTCCATACCATAAACACCAAAGAAATTTTCCTGAATTCGCTGAGCCTTGAAATGTGTTAGCTGTGATACCTTTTCCTTAATACTTTTTATTTATAGTATTTATGTAGAACTGACCTCTTGGATCCTGAAGAGGGTCATTCTGTTCCACCTTGTCAGTGGCTCGTGGTCTTTTGTACACCTAATATATTTTGATGCCTTGGGTTCCCAGTTCAAAGAGTTGCCCCACACTGCCAGTTACAAGTAATTAATCATTTTTCTGCTATAAGAAAGGACAGATATCAGCATGAGTCCTACGTTGATTTACCATTTCTTTCTCAGTGTCATTTTAGTTATAAAGAAAGGCATCCCAGTTATAACATGAAAAAAAAAAAAAAACCCTAGTAACCCTTGACATTCCATTTAGACATGGACACGAAGGGCAGGTGGCTCAGTGGTAGAGAGCTTGTTCTGCAAGTTTGCCGCCCTGATTCAATTCCAACATTGCAAGAGTAGAAACAAACAAACAACCCCCCCCCCAAATAAAGTGAGGTTGAATGAGTAACATCTGCCCGGAATAGGTCATGGGTCTTTTAATCTATATAACATTCATTTCAGCTAGAAACTCACTCCTGAAATCTTCAAACATTTAGGGTAGTTTCAGGTTTTCTATGTTCATGTTAAGTGTCTATTTTATGGAGATAAATAGAGTTTTCAGCAAGGCTTTCACCGACTTCCTTAGGGTAATTACCCCAAGAAGAGACCTCATGAAGGCTCTAGCTTAGAAGTGAAGCAACGGGATTCTTTGCCAGCTTTCCCTGTGCTAAGACCCTCTTGACATTTCAACATCTTCCAAAATGGCATCTTTGATCTAGATAGAGCACGGCCACGTCCCTACCTTCTCTGACTTGGAATAGTATTCCATTGTGCAGTGTACCTCCAAAAACATCCCACAGAGAAACAGAAGCAGATGTCCTAATCATTGCCACAGTGGAAATCCAAGAGAAATCCATTAGAAATCACTGCAGTTAAAGCAAAGTGTGAGCTTATTTTCATAGGACATTTTGATGTAATGACTAGCTAATTTTTCCTTTGATTTTAGCCGGTTGGTGAAGAAGCCATACTGGCTGATTTCTGCTCTGGAAAGTTCTTTGTCCAATATGGCAGTTTATTAACAGCATAGCTTGGTGCCTCAGAGCTCCTGTGGTCTCCCTTCCCCCAAAATTGGGATTCTGGAAACGTGAACACTATATGACATAAGGAAAAAGACTAACTTGGAATTCATCTGCATGCTTTTTCTTTGAGCTTATTTGCATTTTGAGATATGGTCTTAACACATGGTCCTATCCCAGGCTGGCCTCAAACTCACTATGTAGCTCAAGATAACCTCCAACCTGTAACTCTTTAGCCCAGCCTCCTCTCTCTATCACAATAATGACTTTCATGAACTTTCATGATGGCTGATCTCTAAGTGATTATTGTAGAAAGATTTGGTACATTCACGGAGGGAGAGTCTTTTGCTGGGAATTTGTTTCCCCCAGAGACCTGCCCTGGAGTTGACCCCACTACAGCTGATATTCAGCATAACTTCAGCACGTGTCCTGTTACAGATGTCAGGTGAGAGGCCCCCGTGTTTGAATGTGCAAATGGGGCAGGTCTTGGGACCCACAGTTCTTTTGTTCCCTCCACTTTTACTTGAAAAGCCTTCAGAAAGATGACGCTGTGTTGATGACAACATTATGCAAATTGTGTTTTTCTGACAAGAAATTTAAAATGAAATATGGAACAAAACAAGTGCTTCATCCTAATGGAGGTTTTGATTATGCAAGTAAATTATTTTATAGGTTGTTTTTGGTATTTATTGCAGCCGTGTATGTATATATATATATATATATATATATATATATATATATATATACATACATATATATTTACCATCCCAGAAATTCAAATGGCATCTTGAGTTCTGTCTCCCTAGTTGAACTAAAGTAATAATTCCACTGCCTTGTCTCTGTCTTCACCATTTTTCTTTCCTGTTCTTTTGCTAATTCTTCAGCAACCCAATTTCCTGCTTGCATTCTCTCTTCCCAGAGTACAGAGACACACATATGTTTTGTCTTCTCTTTGCTAAAAGTCCTTGAGTAGGCTTTCCTGTCCCTTAGCAGCATGGACTCTGGACTTCTCCTCAAGCATGGCTTATTGAGCATGCTGCATGGGGGCAAAGGGCTGATCAGTGACTTCAGAGCTGGCTGCCCTGCCACCCCGTAGGCATCCTCCACCCTTCGTTAACCTTTCTTAGCCCAGGAATGTAGAAGAGATCCAGTGTGGGGGTTCAGTCCCTTGGCATAGTGGCATGCCACAGGTCAGCTCATCCAAGGAACTGTGCAAAGTCAGTGTTCTGTGAAGCACTGTTGGATAGCCTCCAACTTGTAATGCTTTGCCTCAGCCTTCCTATAGCATGTTTTTATTAGTTGTTTTTGTTAATCCACCTCAATGACAGCTTAATTTTTCGGGCCAGTATTTCATCCATGCTTCATGTATAGTCAAAGTTTTTCTATTAATATCATACTTAGTTACACATACCCAGACAGACACACCTCTCCCGCTGAATTTCTCTATTCTTTTTGTAGTCCCAGAGTCTAGCTAGTACATAATAGGACTTTGACTAATGTTTTTGAATTATATTTTTATACTGTCACAAATAAAAGCTCAGAACACCGGTGAAAGTCTGGTGTTAGCAAAGACACATGCCCTCTGAGCAGACAAATAGAACGTCAACAGGCAAAAGCAATTGTTTTTTTTATTAAGGATCATCATTTGTTAATCACGTGTCTTTACATCAGAAGTATTTACCAGATCTGAATTCTTGTTTCCGGAAGTGAGACATAAATTTCCACGTTGCTGCCAGAGTCTTGCTTGTGTTCATACACTTGCCCTACAGATTGTCTTTCTGTTCTATGCACTCAATACTTAGAATCTTCACAGACAAATATATATATATTGATGATGAGACTTGGAAAGGAATAAAAAACAATAATAAAAGTGAAAATTTTAAAGCGATGTTCACTCAAGAAGGCAGAGGTGAAGTTTGTATGATTTCAAGCCACTTACTATTAATGATTATTGTATTACAAGTAGAGGAAGATCTGTGGCTGCCATTGCCCTTCTAAGACATAGAGAGTGAAAACCTTGCTGTTACCTCTGGGCCCATTTTCCTTTGTGATTCTCTGAAGCTGTTCTGCCATGCACCCAGATAATGATAAAAGTTAGCACAGCGCTCTTCAAGTTAAATTTCTCAAACGAACACTAGTCAGTGCATATAATAAAAGTGCAATGCTCTCTTCTAGGCACTTGGTAAACTTTTCCTACCTGCTATAACCTTGGCACTCACTTAGATGCTGAAGATGGAAAAATAAGACAGGATTCCTGTCTGGTAGAGTTTAAATTTGTTCTCAATTTGCTTTTCCTACAGTCTGTATTAAGAAATGAGGAGGAATTTAAAAAAAAAAAAAAGTTTTTTCCTCAGGTTATTTCAGTCGAGTCTAATTCCTCCCCACCATCCTCCAAAACTAACCAAATCTGAGTCATCATGAAGCAATCCCATTTTTATTTCTACAGCTGTTAAATGTTCATGTCGGCCATAGTCCGGGCCGTGACTGATCAAGTGTACGCTTCATTAACCCTGCACTACACTACTTCTGCCACTAGAGGAGCTGTGCTGGAACTCCAGTGTCCCCTTTATAGAAAAGGGTGAATCTCAGGTTTATTTTGGGAAGGCAGAAATTCATGACATTCATAGCAAAATGCATGAGGGGCAACATTATAAACCCCCAGGGGAGGATGGAGGTCGCACTGTCATGTTTCCCTGGAGATGGAAAAGCTCTGTTTGAAGCTGCAGGTTGGTGTTAGCACCTTAGATTAGCACCTTAGCTATGGAGAGCAGAAAGTAATGGCATTTAACAGGTAGCACATGTATCTCGGCATACAGTAATACACTAGTATTTGTACACCACAAGGTTCTGATATGTAGATGAGACACAGCAAACGTTTGAGTTATGATATTGACTTCTAAGTACTTATTGATGGGTAGGCTATAGGTTTCCTTTATGAGAATGAATAAACTGTCTTTATCTTTACTGTCGATAAGGTTTCGAGGGGAGGGCTTTGTTGGTTTGTATTTTCACATTTCGATAAGCATATATTGATATCACTATTTCCCATCATATAAAATACCAACCATTTCTGTGTCCCTTAGCAAAAGAAAGGTCTCCACTTGATAACTTTAGGCTTAGTTCAACTTTGTAAAAGGTCTAAAAAGGAACTGGACAAGGAAGGCTGGGCACTGTAACCTTCTGCCCAGCGCGTTCATTTCACTTTCAATAAAGATAATCAGAACTAACTTCCCTCCTGTTACCATCATGGTAGAAACCTAACAGCGTAGTTCCTTCTCCTCTGTATATTAAAAAAGATAGTTTTAATTTAGTCTTGCCATATTTATAGCTAAGAATTTACTACATTTTGGTAGTCCGTTTTGAAACTAAATCCTTATATCTGAAAGATGCAGATAAAGTCTGCCTATTTATTACACAATGGGCTCTGTTTGCTACAGAAAAGAGTGAAACTTTTACCTGCTTAGCACACTTGCCATTGAAATATACCTGACAGAGCAGAGGTTATAACTTTGGCTCTACTTACTTTTAATAATGATAAGACGTGAGTTTTGTTTGTTTACATGCTGTTTACAATGGCATAATTTTTAAAATCTATATGACAATTGAGATATTTATTGCATACTATTTTAAAGATGTTTGAATGTGTTTTCACCTTTGGAATATATTGTTACATTTCCTTGTACAGATAATTTGGGTGGCTTTGTTAACGTAGCTAATAATTTTTATGACTACTAAGTGACCAGTTTCGGTGCCTTCGATTGTGGGGTGCATGACTATGTATTTATTGTAAGGAAGTCACTGATGTGTGTATTTTTGTACTTTGCTGAGAGTAATGGTTGGTGTACATGATGAGAGACGTCTTTCCCAAAGGGCACTGCCTTCAGAGCAACCTTCTCAAATAAAAAAAGACTGTGTTTGAAGGTGTGAGGTCTGCGCTTTTTCTGGAGGGAATTCATTCGGATGATTTTCAGAACAGTACAAAGGGGTCCTTTGTACCTTTAGCTACCACTACTGACCCCACGTCCACACACCATCTTGAAAAACAGGAATAGTCTAGACGGCATCAAAACCAGGATGCTGGTACTGATATGGTCAAGTTGTTCAACAGTTGAGTCACCCCAAGGACCCACTACAAGGCTTCTCTTGCTGCCCATTTGTGAACACATCTACTTCCCTTATGCCTTCGTCACCCAGTTCCCAACCCCAGGCAACTGCTAATCCATCTCCATTCCAAAACGTTTATTATTTCAAGTACATTATATTAGAATTATGTGTGACTTTGATTTATCCCCAAGATACATCCAAAACAATGTACATATCAGTGTGGATTTTTGGAGCTGTTTAATTTTTGGATTTTAATTTTTAATTATTGATGGATAATATTCCATGTGGTCGAGTTACTAATATTAAAAGCACAATTTGGTTTACCCCTACAGAAATAAGCCCTTGAAGTTCACTACAAAGTACTTGTTAAGTTCACAGTGTGGGGGCTGGAGAGATTGCTTAGTAGTTAAGAGGTCCTTAGTGCTCTTCCAGAGGTCCTGAGTTCAATTCCCAGCAACCACAAGGTGACTCACAACCATCTAGAGTGGGATCTGATGCTCTTTTTTGACATAAGACATACATGCAGATAGAGTTACTCATATACATTATATATATTTGGTTTTTCAAGTCAGGGTTTCTCTACATAGCCCTGGCTGTCCTGGAACTCACTGTATAGACCAGGCTGGCCTCAAACTCACAGAGATCTCACTGCCCCTGCCTCCCAAGTGCTGGGATTAAAGACATGCACCACCACTGTCTGATATAAATAAATCTTTTTTAAAAAAATCGCAAAAAGAACGCAAAACTCCTTCAGTAAAGTGGCAGGATACAAGATCAACTCAAAAAAATCAGTAGCCCTCCTATACACAAATGATAAAAGGGCTGAGAAAGAAATCAAAGAAAAACCACCCTTTACAATAGCCACAAATAATATAAAATACCTTGGGATAACACTAACTAAACAAGTGAAAGACCTTTTTGATAAGAACTTTAAATCTCTAAAGAAA